GGGACAGCCCCAGAGGCCCTGTGCCCAGATGGGGGCATGGGAAGTTTCAGCAGTTCCTCATCAGGGACCACAAAGAAGGAGATGGATGAGGTGCTGGGTTTCTATGTTCCCCTGAATGAGTGGGAGGGACAGGGAGATGCTGGGGGTGGGGGCAATAGGGGGTGGTGGTGGTTTTGGAAACTCTTGCTTTGGTTTGGGGCTTGGAAACCCAACCCAAACCCTCCCTTGTCCCTCCTCCTGGCTGGCCCCGTGCACGTCCCAATCCTCAAGACCAGAGAGGTTGTGTATACAAAGAAACTTTCCATTCTGACAGCTCAGCTTGGCTGTTTCCTCCTCCTCCTCCTCCTCCTCCTCCTCCTCCTCCTCCTCCTGCTGCCGCTGCAGCTGCTGCTGCCGCTGCTACACTCTCTCTGGTGCCAACAAGGTCCTGGAGGCAACAGCCTTCTTAGCTCCCCGCCCTCCTTCCCGAGGGCTGAAGTTCTGGAAAGGAGAGCCTCTGTTCTCCAGAGACAGGAGGGAGCGACTTGGCTGAGGTGGGGGTGGCCCGTTTTTTAGGTAGGCTCTCCGGGGAGGGGTCCAGGTATACTGGCCAGGAATGGAAACCTGCCTGTTACCAACTTCTTAGGTGATTGGGGTAAGTCCCTTTACCGCTTTCTGTGCCTCAGTTTCCCCCTTCAAACATTGGAGAGTTTCCTTCTCTTGTTTCTATCTTGTCTCATTGGATCATGTGTGTGGGGGGATTTGGAGGGCGTGCTTTGGAAGTAGGAAGGTTTATATCAAAAGTGGGGAAAGACTTCGCGGATTTGTCTCCACCAATTTCTGTTTGCAGTGTGAGGAGAAGAGGAGGAGTCAAATCTGGTGCTTAAACATGTTCCCCTGAGAAATTGGAGGTGGGTGGGCCCCCTTGGGGGTGAGAGATGGTGTGTGGGTAACTGGGGACAGACAGGACCCAGGATGGAGTTAGAAATCAGAAGCTGAGACCAGAAGGAAGGGACAAGGCAGCATCTTGAGTGTGGGTCTAGAAAGGAGCCATCAGGCTGTCCAGCGTGAGGTGAAGAACACCCAGACTTGGGGGCAGAGGGGTACCCTGGAAGAAGATTTCTAAAATAATAAGGAACCAAAGGGAGTTTGTGCTGAGACAGAGGATCAGGGGACAGTGGGTCATGGAACTGCTAGTTTTGAAGGATTCAAGCTGTCCCCCTTCCTTTCTGAGACTAGAGGGAGGCATGGGAGCGTGGGTTTTTAGAGCTGGAAGAGATCTTGGAGATTATCTAACCCAACACCTCTTACCAATTTTACAAATGAGTAAACTGAGGCCCAGAGAGATTAAGTGACCAATATAGCTAGGATATATAGGTTAAATATAGCTAGTTAATGGCAAGAGCTAGGATTTGAACCCAGATCTTTTGGTTCAAAATTAAGGGACCATGGAAGGAATTTCTCTACGTATCTTAAAGGTAGCTAGGTCATGCTGTGTATATAGCGCTGGGCCTGAAGTCAGGCAGTTTTATTATTGTTCAGTTGTTTTTCAGTCAAGTCTGACTTTTCATGACCCTACTTGGGGTTTTCTTGGCAGAGATACTGGAGAGGTTTGCCATTTCCTTCTTCAGCTCATTTCACAGATGAAGAAACTGAGGCAAACAGGGTGAAGTGACTTGTCCAGGGTCACACAGCTAGTGAGTGTCTTTGGCCAGATTTGGACTGGGGAAGATGAGTCTTCCTGACTCCAGACCCAGTATTCTATCTGTTGCATCACCTAGCTACCCCAGGAGTCAGGGGCACCTGAGTTCAAAGCTGGTCTCAGACATTTACTAATCTTGTGACCTTGGGCGAGTAATTTAACCTTTGTCTGAGTCAGTGTTCTCAACTGTAAAATAGGGATAATAATAGCACCTTCCAGCTGATATTATTATTACTATTATTAATATTATTATTATTATTATTATTAACCTTACCTCCCGGGGTAATTGTGAAAATCAAATGAAATAATATTTGTGGCACATAATAGGCACTTCATAAATGCTTATTCCTTCTTAAAACGGTATCTACATTCATCCATGGTTATTTATTGTGGGCTGGGAAGCTTAATGCCACAGGTAGTACTATTGAGGTCCCTCTGAATGAGTGTGAGTCATGGCCTTGGGGCAGAAGCACTGATGGGATGAGGCCTTATAGCCCCTCATTCCTTTGGATCCTACGTGTTAGCTTAGTATAGAGAAAGAGTCATGGGTTTGAGTCCTGGTACTTATGAGTTGTGTGACCTTAAACAAGTCAATTTACCTCCTCCTGCCTCAGTTTATTCATCTGTAAAATGAGACAAATGCTATTAGCACTACCTACCTTACAGTGAATCCTGACACATTATAGAAATGAGTTATTATTATAATTATCATGTTTTTATTATTTATTTATTGTATGTTACTATTATGCTTTTTACTCATATTTGGAGACTATCTGGCATCTTAAAAGTATAAGGTTGTGATCGTGGGCAGGGAGCCTCTGGCTTTAGGTAGATTTGAACTCAGATCTGTGAGCAGCAACTCCTTTTCCATGAAGCTCTAGAGAGAAATCTCATGACTCCTCCTCACCCACCATTTATGCAAATTAAGTATTCAATGAGACTCTTGGTCATGACGTTCTTCCTTACATTGAACTAACTTTCTGCCCCCTTTCCTGTAATCTTTGCTGTTGTAAGGGACCGAGGCTCCTTTAGGCTCAGCCTGGCTGATCTGATCTCGTGTAGGAGACTCTGGCATTTCGTGATTCCAATAGCATTCTTTTACAAAATTGGCTGGGAATTGGTGGTAGGGGAAATCTGGTTTGCAGAGAAACCCTTAGACAAAGTGTGAACACATGAATGGGAGCAGATACCTTTGGGGAATCTGTGTTGGGCTGTGCACCTCTGTGCTCACTGAGGAAATGGCAACCTTGAACTGGGAATGGAGTCCTTTGGACTGGGGATTTTGTGAGCTCTGATTCTGCATTGGTCCATGGAATGTCACAGGGGTATGAGGACTTTGAGGGGTAGGGGTTTCCCACAGAGTTAAAGGGTATATAATTACTCTGGGGAGTCCTTGTAGCATATATATTTCTTAGGGGCCAGAGCTCTCATTTTTGCCTTTGTACCTGGCCCATAGCAGGAGCTAAGTAAATGTGTATCAAGTGATTGGTTGTTTGCCTTGTCAATCATATTTCACGATCCAGAATATTCGGGCACAGGTGTGCTGAGGATCCAACCTTAGGCTGGGCTCGCAAAATTAGCATCAGCAGATAGTTCTGGAATTGAGTACATGGAGGAGTGGGGGAGGAAGAGGAGGTATTTGGGAGGGGGAGACAACAGATAAAGAGACATTTTGGGAATCTTACAGAACCATTCCTTGCTGCTGTTTCACGTATTATACATCCATCTGTAGGCTTTTTAGGGTTCATATATTATATATCCATCTGTATGTTTTTTAGGATTTTAGGCTTAATGAGATGAAGGCTTGTTTTTGTGAGCCTTAGTTTCCCCATATGTGAAATATATGGTCCCTTCCAGCTCTAAATTTATGATTCATTGTTCCTCAACAAGCAACCATCCAGTCTCTGCTTACACACGTGCAATGACAGGGAGCTCATTATCTCTCAAAGTGGCCCATTTTACTATCAGACAACAGTATACTGTTCTGAAAATTTCTCAAGAAATGTGAGCTAGACATTAATGCAATTAGATGTATTCAGAACAGGTTGAATGACTGAACTCAGAGATTAGTTTTTAATGCTCAAATGCTAGCTTTGAGGGAGGTCTCTAGTGGGGTGGCAACAGAATCTGTACTGGGCCCCTTTATCAGTAATTTTGATAAAGGTACAGGTAACATGTTTATCAAATTAAAATTTGACTCGAGGCTGGGAGGGAGACCCTGGGGATGACAGTGTCAGGATCCAAAGAGAACTTGAAAGGCTACATTTCGCATTTGCTATGTGTATGTATGCTATGCCTAGTGCTTTACAAATACTATTTAAGTCCATCCTGGGGAGGTAGGCATTGTTATTATTATCCTCATTTTATAGTTGAGGGAACTGAGGCAGAGAGAGGTTAAGTTACTTGCCCAGAGTCACATAGCTTAGTAAGTTTTGATTTGAACTCAGATCATCCTGACTCCAGGCCCAGCAATCTCTCCATCATACCACCCAACTTCCTTGTGTAAATGTAAAGTTTTATACATTGATTCAAAAAATCAACTTCACAAGTGCAGAATGGGAGGGAGAAGGTATGGTTTAGAGAGAACTTTGTCTGAAAAAGATCTGAGGGTTTTAGTGGATTATAAGCTTAATTTGAGTTAGTGTGTGTGAGGTAGAAACCAAAAAAGGTGACCTTGGATGAGGAGGTGGGCCTGCCTTGTTCTTTGCCTTGGTTAGGCTGAATCTGTAATGTTATACTTGGATTTGGGTACCATAGTTTGGGGAGGTCATTGGGAGGTTGGAGAGCATTGGCAATAGGACAGGAAAGATGTTGAAGGGCCTTCATTGCATGTCATATGATTATTGGTTATAGGAAGATTGCCACATGGAAAAGGGATGTGATCTAGAGCTGGGAGGGACCTCAGATGCCATTTAATTTAATTTCCACTTTACAGATATAGAAAACTGAGGCACAGGGAGTTTGTGACTTGCCCAAGGTTATATGGATACTAAAAGCCTGAGGTAGAATTTGAACCAAGGACCTCTATTTCCAGATCCATCATCCTTTCCTTCTATATAGCCATTTAGTCTGACTGCCTCATTTTACAGATGGGGAAACCGAGTCACAGAGAAGCAATTTGCTCCAAATTCTATAATTAGCAAGTGTCAACAGAGCCAGTACTTGTCCCTAGGTCTTCTCACTGCAAGTGCAGTGCCCTACTAGAGGATGACATCTTAGCACTGGGCATGGTGTGTTTCTGAAGGCCGTCATCAGTCCTTGGTCTTCATTTATGGTCAGCTGGATAACTTGGGTTTGATTTTCTTTTCTTATTTTCTAGGGCTCCACTAAAATCACCAAGAGCCCCCAGCTCCGGCCCCAGACTGTCAGGTATGCCGACCCCAGGAAAACTGGGAAAGGAGATTTGTGGGAGGGTCGTTGAAGCTGGTGCCATGGACTGGTCACTTACATCTTGATTCTAGGGCTCAACCTTACGTTACACAGGATGAGTAAACCAGAGGTGATGAGACCAAGGATGGACTGATGATCATTGCCTGAAAATGATCAGTGAAAGGGATTTAATTGAGATGTCCAAAAGATACTTCCTGTCATCCAGGTTTTTCTGCTGCCAGGATGGGGATCTGCCTTGGGAGGCTACCCACAACCTCTATTCCTTTGGAGAATCTTAATCTCGGGAGAGAAGCTCAGGTGGTTGGGCAGAGGGGTGGATGAGGTCCCTTGTCTTCCTCAGAAGTCCAATTTTTTCTATTAGGTTCATTAAGCTTGTTCTTCCTCTTCCACTCCCATATATCTTGACTATCAGCTTCTCTGTCCATGTCTTCCATCACTTTGTCCCCTTTGTATCAATATTACTGATACTACTGGTTTACCGATACTCCTGGGTGTGAAGGGAGCAATAGAATAAGCCGGTTCTTAGCCTTGTTTGATAGAAGAGTCCTGGAGAAGGGTTGGGAGCTGGCTAAAGACTCATGGTAAGCTATGGATTGACCTTGCTTTCCACATCAACAAACCTCCGTGAACTCTCCATGGACTTCCTGGGGCCATATTTATTCATTCATTCATTTACTTGTCAAGACCACTGTGTTCAGTCCTGGGGTGGGGGAAATACAAGAATAAATAAGAAACTCCCTAGATCTCTACACTCTGCACTCAAAGATTTCGTAGTCAAGTGGAAGAACTTAGAGTAATAAGGTTTGCAGTGTTATCTCGTTTGATAGTTTGATTCTCAGAACAACCCTATTAGGTAGATGCTATTAACTCCATTTTACAAATGAGGGAACGGCAGCAGAGAGATCTTACTCAGTGTCACACAGTAAGTATCTGAGGCAAGATTTGAATTCAAGTCTTCATGACTCCAGGTTATGAAGTCAACCCTATCCCTCTAGCTATCTTGAAATCTCTCCATATCTCATTCTTTTCCTTGTGGCGAAAGCTGGAAAGTGCCAAGAACATTGGGAGACAAAAAAATTATACCTAATTATACCATCTCATCATCTTACCTGGAAGAGTGCCTGAAGTTTGGGGGGCAGGTCCAGCAAGCGTCTGCTGCATATAAACCAATTCTCCAAAAGCAGTCATCTGACATCCAACTTTGTACCCCCTCCCTTTCCTCATGGACAGAAAGAGGGGAGCTTTCTGCTAATCTACTGCATCCACTACCCAGATGCCCAGATTACCCAGCTGAGAGAGTCAGTTTCAGGTGGGTTGGAAAAGCGTTGCTTGGAAAATCATGGCACATCGCATCTAAGTCAGTCATTGTTGACTGGAAGGAGGGAATTAATGAATTGGTGTTCTTTAACCTTTATGTATGCCCCCTGAACCTTGATCCAGGAGACCCACAACAGACCTCCTGGTGCTTGAATTAAGCAACAGGATCTACAAAACCATCTTAGGGTTAGGGAGGGAGATGTCTTAATGCAGGTGGCATAACAAGGAGGCAGAGTGCCACAGTGGTTAGAGTGATGGGCTCAAGAGTCAGCAAAATGTGAATTCATATCCCTTCTCAGATACTTCCTAGGTAAATTAATTCTCTCTCAGCCTCAGTTTTTAGATCTGTGAAAGGGAGATAATAAGAGCATCTACCTTGTAGAGTTGCTGTGAGGATCAAATGAGAAAATATATGTAAAGTACTTTGTAAACCTTAAATCAATATGCAACTATTATTATTGTTGTTATTATTATTATTATTATTATTATTATTATTATTATTATTAGTCATCTTCAGGGAGCCCTTGTGAAAGGTCCAAGAACAGAGATGAAAGTCAAAGAATACCCAAACTGGACTCCCTGGGGTCTCTCTATAGCAGCCCTTTTCTTGAACTCTGTCTGACCCTATTTTTACCCCAGGGAAAGACTTCTCTCCCTAATTCCCAACCTCTAGCTGGAGAGCTGTGCTCATTGGACATGGGTCAGAGGTTTTAGAGGCATGGAATGTAAGCTCCATGAGGGCAGGGACTGTTGGTTTCCTTGTCTTTCTATCCCTGGTGTCTAGGCCATTCCTGGCATACAGTAGGTGCTTAATAAATAGTTGGTTGGTTGGATGATTGATTCTCAGACCATCTTCAAGTGCTGGAACTTTTAGGAGTCCCACAAAGCCTGAAAACCCCTATGTTTTTCCACCTTCTAGGTGGGTGCTCACCTTTATCTTGCTTGAAGGCAAGGAAAATGAGTGTCAATATTGCTACCTATATAGTGTTGTGACATTTCATGGATGAAGAAACTGAAACCCTGGGTGATTGGGACTCAGGCAGGAGGTGGAGGTGGGGTGGAATCTGGAGGTAAAAGGGGGTGGAACTTGGAATTACTCCAGGAGCCCTACTTATCATGTCAGCTTTCTCCCCTTTATTTGTTCTACCCTTTACTCTCTAATGGAATCTCTTAGCCCTAACTCGAGAGGAGGATGGAGAGGAGCCTCATGATGCAGAATATGACCTCCCAGCTTCACTGCCCCTGACTCTGGGCACTGCCATTGGTGGTCGAGGGCTAAACCTCCCAGGCCGGCTACCCTCTTATCTGGGAGTACAGAGGTGCTGTGGCTGTCTGCCATGTGAGAGGCCCCTTTCCTCCCTCCCGCTTCCAGTGGGCTCAGACTTAGCTCCCTCCCATTCTTACTGTCCTTAGGAGTAAGGCATCTGGCTGCCAAGAAGCAGCTTCAGTGAGGTGAGGGGGGCAGAGGCATGCAGGAACAATGGACTGGAGGCTGCTGAGAGGAGAGGTGGAATGTAAGCTGTGGTCTGGCTCACCTGGGGCCCAGGTGAGGGGTGTCACTCATCCCTCCCTGAAAAGGACTCTCCTCCATTGCAGGCAGTGTGGGTGGGTGTCTGGGGGGGGGGCGAGAAGACAACAGGAAGCTGAATTTCAAGAGGCGCCTTGAGTTTATGTGCCCCTCTGCAGTACTGACATTTTTTGAGTCCTTCTCCTTATCTAACCTTACCTGCCGCACCCAAGCTCCCTCAGGCCTTCTCTCTGACAGCCAGGAGGGCTGATCTCAGTGTCTTGAAAGAGAGAGAGTACTCTAGACCTGGATCCCTGGCCAATTCTAGCCCTGCCATTGACCTCAGGAACTCCCAGGGGGTAGAGGCCAGGACCAAGGAGCTGGTGACAAGTCTAAAATTTGCCTGTTGTGCAGAAATCTGTTCAGTTCTTACCTTTTCCCTTATGTCCCTCCCTCCACATCCTGTCTCTCTGTGTCCCTTTCAGCCCTTGTCTCTTTCTACCAAACCATCTAATTTTTCTCCAATTCCAGATCCCCTCCAGTCTCTGACCCTCTCCCCACAATATTTTCCTTCCCCCAAGCTCTGTTGTGTCGCATAATGTTAGTCAGGCCTGGAAGAACTCTAGGTAGGTCCCTGTCTTGGCATGTCCACCTGGGCCTGTAGTGCTCTTGAGTTGTTTGACTGAGGTGGGGAGGAGATGCTTACGGGAGCATTTGGGTGTCTCAGACGCTGAGCTTTGACCATTGCCTTCCCCCCTCCCTCTCTTGTCTTCTCAGGAATATGAGCATCACCCAGACCATGGAGGACAGCTGTGAACTGGACCTAGTGTACGTGACGGAGAGGATCATTTCCGTCTCTTTCCCCAGCACCACGGATGAGGAGAATTTCCGAAACAACATCCGAGAGGTGGCCCAAATGCTCAAGTCCAAACACGGAGGCAATTACCTGGTGAGGGGAAGGCGATCTCATCCACACCTTTATTTATCCGTTGGGCTCTGCCTTGTTTTTCTTTTGGTCATCTCTAAAGCTGATGTCTTCCCTGCCCGCTTCTTACTTTATCTTCTGCCTTTCTATTCTATAGGTATTATTTCACCTTTGAAGTCAGTAATTTCTGAGGCTGACATCAGCTACCTTGTTAACTCCCCAAAGTTCAGAATCAGTTATTAGGAGCCAGTCTAGGGGAGGGGGACAAGAATGGTGAATGGCCAATGGTCATGTGGAATGCTTGAGTGAAGTGGGGAGATTTAGGACTGGGAACAGGTCTTGTTTACTGGCTTCAGGGATGGATGTATCCATGAGGAAGTGTGGCTAAGTGGAAAGAGCAAGGAACTTTAGAGTCAAGAGTTTTGACTGGAACTTGCTAGTTGTGGGCCTGGGACAAGCTTCAGTTTCCTCATCTGCAGCACTGGGATAAAAACACTCGTTTTACCGAGCTCTCAGGGTAGTTGTGAGGAAAGCACCGTGTACATCGTAAGACACTCTATCAATGTGAATTACTCCAGTAAGACTTTGTGGCTCCAGAGAAAAGAAGGACCAGTGTTTGTAAATTTCAGAAAGGTAGATTTCAGCTCAGCTTAATGAAGTACTGCCTAACCAAGAGGGCTATCCCAGAATGAAGTGGGTTACCTTGTAAAATGGTGAGCTTCCTGTCACTAGAAGTATGGAAGTAAAAGTTGGATGACCAGACTTCCTGCCATTAGGGATAATGCGGAAGGAATTCTGGCCACAAGTAGAAGGTTCAACTATATGGAGTCCTTTCCAGTTGGGAGAGCCTATGATTCTGCTTGGTTCTAGGTTCTGCCCGCCCTTCTGACCTTCTGTCTATAATGTCGCCAGCCTCACGTGTTCTCTTGCCCATTGCTGGGTAGAAAGAACACTGGCTCTGGAGATGGAGGGCCTAGGTTCAAACACCACCTCTGACACATACTGTGTGGCCTTGGGAAAGTCATTTAACCTTATGTTTTGCATAAGTGCATATGTGTAACTTACATCAGATACTTACTCTCTCAGGGAGGGAAGAAGGGAGAAAGGGAGTGAGATAATTTGGAACTCAACATTTTAAAAAAATGAATGTTAAAATTGGTTTTACATCCAATTGAGAAAAATAAAATATTATTTTAAAAAATTGAAAAAAAAAGAAAGTCATTTAACCTTAGAGGACTTCAGTTTCCTCATATGTGAAAAAGAGAGGTAGAGAGCTCCTGAGATCCCTCTCGCTTCTAAATCTTTGATCCTAAGATCCTTCTCCCCAAAGCAGAGACTATAGTGGTGGGCTATCTGTTTCCAGGCTGCTGGGGTCAGCTCTTTGGGATTATCTCACCTGACAGTCAGGTATCCTAGTTGGAGCTGAAGTCAGGAAAACCTGAGTTTGAATCCTCCCTCAGACGCTTCCTGGCTGTGTGACCTTGGGCACGTCACCTAACTTCTGCCTGCCTCAGTTTCCTCAGTTGTGAAATGGAGATAACAAAGCACCTGTTCCATGTGTCATGAGACTCGAATAAGAACATAAATATTTAGCACTTTGTGAGACTTAAAGTGCTACATACCATTGTTGTCATCATCATTGTTAATACTAACTACTTGTGGCTTCTGCATTAAGGGATGTGCTGTGAAGAGAGTCTCATGACTATGAAATGGGGCAGGGGATTCTGAGTTCAAGATCATATGTCTGGTGCATGTCTGCGGGGGGTCTTTTTGTAGGTGTGGTTAGTGTTGCAGACTCATGATTGTATGAAGGTGTGAAAGTGAGCATGTCTTGGAGGTCAAGTTTAAGTGTGTGGCACTGTCCTTACTTAATGCTATTATGTCTCTGTGGTGAATGCAGTCCATACAAGGGGTATGTGTGTATGTGTGTGTGTGTGTGTGTGTGTGTGAGAGAGAGAGAGAGAGAGAGAGAGACAGAAAGACAGAGAGAAACAGAGGCAGAAGTCGAGAGAAGAGAGGAAGAGACAAGAGA